GGGCGCTCGCTCGAGCCCAGGCGCTGGGCGCTTCGGGCGAGCGCCTGGGTTAACCAAGGCGACCGAACCAGGATTTTAGGTCTTGTTCGATCCTGGTTCGGTCTCCGATGGTTAGTTGGTTCAATCGAACCAACTAAAACCGATATAAGTGACAACCCAACCCTAACCCTCGCCGCTGTCGCTCCCGATCCCGCTGCTCGCAAACTCTGTCGCTGTCGCCGCTCGCGCTTCCCGCTGCTCGCCGCTCCTGCTCCCACTCCCGTTCTTGCTCCCGCTGCCGTTGCTCGTCGCTGTCGCCGCTCGCGCCTCCCACTGCTCGCCTCTCCCGTTGCCGCTGTCGCTGCTCGCCGCTCCCACTGCCGCTGCCGCTGCTCGCCGCTCACCACTGCCATCGCTCGCTGCTGTCGTCGCTCGCCGCTGCTGCTTCCTCTTTTCTCAGTCAGCAAGCTCAGCACCCCTTTACACTTCCTTTTAACAGTATACGTATAATGTATACTGTTAATATTATTAAGTTTATTTAAAATAATTAATTTTTAATATTGTTAATAGATTAATAATATATTATTTTGATTTTAATACTATTAATTTTTATTTATTTGAAATTATTGCTAGGTTTCTTAATACTGTTAATTTTATATCTTAATTTTCTTAATTTAATAGCATATTTTTATTTAAAATTTTAAATAATTATATTTATTAATTATATTATATATTTTTATATTTTAGCGCCTCGCTTCGCTCGGGCGAGCGCTTAGCGCCTCGAGCGTTTTTGGACTTTGGTGCCTAGCGCTTTTTAAATCACTGATTGGCATATACTTGATCCTGCATCAAATGTACATCTAGTTGTCATATACTTATAAAGGGTTAAAAAACAAAGATAATAACATGGTTAGCCTTTTAAGAAATATTGTAGTTATGTTAATTGTAGCTAAGTTAATTTTGGTTATCTGTGTATAGTTAATCAATATTGCAGCTTGCGCTTTTCAGGAATTTATCATCGGCCTACTCTGTTCTTTGTTATTCAACACTTGTCCTATCGAGGATACTAGGGTTTAAAAGGGTTGCAATGAAAGCTTGTGAAAAAGGTAGCTGGATAAGATGATGGACCCTGATCAATAACTTGTGGCTAGATCTTTCGACAATAAATGATAGATCTAACTTGGTTGACATCAATATGTTGATATGGGACATCTTAGTGTTAATCCTTACTATTGATCATCAGTTGATTGTTTTCAGGAAAAAAGGTGGCACCAACCACCTGATTCTATTTATGCAATGTAAAGAACATACAAAAATTGAATTCATTGGGCCATAAGTATTCATTGCCTTTAAAAGGTTAAAGGAGTTCCACCCGTAAGTGGCAAAGATTTTCGTGTCACTAGGATTCGGGTATCAAGTTTTTAGGGGATAAGGAGATATTGACGTATATATTGCTTGATTTTTCTGAATTTGGATAGTATCAGAGATTTTAAATTTGTAGCTAAAAGAAAATGAATGAGCTGAGCTAATAAGCGAGTCTATATAGTATCAGGAGCCTCATGTTGGATCTACTTTCTTGCGTCCTCTTTTTAGATCAGCTTCTTTTGGGAATTTGGTGGATGAGACTTCTCTCTAAATGAGAGATTTGGAGATTTCTTTATCCTCTTTAGCTGGTACCTTTGAAAGGAAACAAATAATATACTATTCAAGGGTGTACATTGTAACCTGAATTTAGTTCAAGCTATGTTGTCAACTGAATCTCAGGATTTTAAGTTCTTGTCCCAGCTTTTCATGTCTCAACCTATGATAAAGATCACTAATTCGACCTCTTGGATCTGTCTCTTTTTATAGTTTTTTTCCTTCTCCGCTCCTTTCTCTTTCATAACCCTACTCAATTAAGCTTGCTTTCTTACTACTTTTGCCTTGAATATAAAAGGAACACTATTAAGCTTTGTTAAGTCAAATTCCAGTGGTTTGACACATGAATGGTCTAGAGCCAACCAAGGTCCACTTCTGAATTCATTTTTGAACTTGTCTCAGGCTAAGGTGTGGGGATGGTAGGAGATTTGGCTTAAGAGTTCAGCAATGTCAGAGGTAACCTAGTAAGACTCTCTGATGTTTAAGTTAGTGAGGGTTCAACGGATTCAACTAAATGCTGAATTTAGAGAATGCACCCAGGGATGCACCTCTGTTATTTTATAACGTGATGAGCGATCATTGGATTGAGGCTATAGTAAATGTGGGGAATGGTTACGTGCATGATTCGGCCATCAATTGGTTGTGGGATCATGTACCAAACCTAGGGTTATCGAGTAACAATTTTGTCAAGTCAGCTTTTTTTGCCAATGCTAAGTAGTCGACGTCTAAGGACCGAGTCAACATTCTCATCGGTGCCACGTTTCCAAACTTGTAAGAACCGACCCTATATGACGTGTCAATCAAGTGAAAGCAAGGTGTGGATCAAGTGGAAGTGACTTGTTGCCCAGGTGGAAGTAGGGTGTCGATCATGTGGAAGTGACATGATGCCTAGGAGGAAGCGGCATGTTGGCCAGGTGGAAGTGTCGTATCATCAATTGCCTACTTGTCATGCCTCTCATATTAAGTTTAGATGGAGATTTTACCTCCATATCATACCAGCCAATATCTATTATGGTTGGCTAGAAATTCTTGATGCATGTTTAACTTTTTCGTAAACTTTGGTAATGCATGCAGTTCTTGACTTGCTTTAAGACATTATATTTTTAGGTATTTTAAGCAAGGTTTAACTTACCGGTCTGAGCTAGTGTGCCGACCGATCGGCGACACTGCATATGCCGCCCTGTACTAGTGTGCGGGAGGAAAATGCAAAATCTAAGGATAAGAAAAAGGATGGTACTGTCGATCTAAAGTTAGAGGATGAATACCTTACTGCCTTTTCCATTTGTTTTATTTCTGATGAAGATAACCTGCTATAATGTTCGTGGACTTAATAAGCCTGAAAAATGTCGGGAGCTCAATAGAATAATCAAGTCTGCCGCATGTGATAATGTTATTCTTGTGGAAATGAAAATTAAACAATCGTGCGTTCAAGCCCAAAAGAACATAATATGGCCGGACGCAGAACTGTTTACCAACGACTCTCAAGAAACTTTTGGTAGAATATAGATCTTATGGCATCCTAACTCTATTAATACCTGGTTTATTTCTGCTACTGATCAATTCATTCATCTTAAGGTGTATGACAAAAAGAATGGCTCTCAATTCAATTTCACTGGTATATATGCTTCAAACAGTATGCAAGAAAGAAATACTCTATGGACTGATCTGACTAACATTGCAAATGGCTGTCTTAATGTACCTTGGATTGTTCTTGGTGACTTTAATATTGTTCGGTATACAAATGAAAAGGTGGGGGGTAGACAACTTTTAGAAAGCTAGCTTCAAAGTTTTAATGATTACATAGATACTGCTGCATTGATCGATATGAAATCTGTGGGTAATTGGCTCTCCTGGAGTAATCAAGGTGCTGCTAACAGAAAAATAATGGCTCGACTCGATAGGTGTCAGATTAATCAAGAATGGTTAACAGTTTACGCTGATTCACTTATTGAGTATGATGCTCCATTATTTTCTGATCATTCTTTAATGTATAAACACGCAAACAAGCAATACCTAGAGACAAGAAACCTTTTAGATTCTTTAACATGTGGAGTACTCATCCTCAATTCCTTGATGTTATCAGTTGAGCTTGGAATGTAAATGTGCATGGTTCCCCCCCTTACATCTTATCTCAAAAGCTTAAAGCCTGTAAAGCAGCACTTAAGGTGTGGAATACAAACACCTTTGGCAATATTACCACCCGAGTTTAATTTTGCAGAAAGGAACTAATGACAATGCAACATGAGCTACAACTTCAGCCCTATGATGAGAATCTTATCTACGGAGAATCTACCCAAATTAGCCTTCTAAATTTGATCAAATCAACAAATCGTAGTTTTGTTGAGTTTAAAAGAGTGAAAATATAAAAATAAGAGAGATGTGAGTGAAAAAGAGCTTGAGAGAGTTTAAGAGATTGAAAGAGTGAAATGAGTTGAAAGAGAGCAGAAGAAAGGGTTTAAAAATTATTTTCCAAGCCTCACGTTCAAATTGACAGTTTGAAATAGGGCAATCTCAGCCCTTAATCGGTAACGGTCAAAATCCAACTATTACCGATTAGTACAGGTTGGTAACGGTTGGATTTCGACCGTTACTACCCTGTATTGATCCCGTATCACCCGATATGAGATGAAGTAATCGATACCACTTGGTAGAGAGCCGTCCGCGTATCGGTATCCTGTCGGACCAATATGTACTGCCCATAATGGGTGGTACGCATTGGTACAGCAAACTTTGATTTTTTTTTTTAACGTTAAATAGGGTCCACCACTTTTGATTTTTTTTATTATTTTAATCCGGACCACTCGAAATAGGGTGGTCCGTATATCGGTCCATGCTCGAACCGATACATACTGCCCAAACCATACCATTTCGGGTGGTACACTAATCCTTGATTTCGAGTGTGTATTAAGAAATCAGAAAAAAGATGCATTCAACAATCAATTAGACTGAATAACAATGAGAGACAAAAATATTTTACAATTGCTACAATATGTAAAAGAAGGAATTAATGCTTTATATTATGTTATAGAGGCTGCTCATCATATTCTTTAATTGCTTCTTTTTTCTTCATGCATTACCAAACCAATTTAAAGTCATATGAGATTTGTTTATTGGTTCAGCTTGAAGTTATGGCTACAAGTCTTTGATGAGGTTTGAAGATTGAGCTAGGTTTCTTAACTGTATGATCAGTTTCCCTCCAATGGGACTTGATAAACAGTTATAGTTGCCTTTTTCTGCTTGTGGATATTAAGGGTTTATTGTTCATGGTAATTTTTTCTTGCATGTTCTTTTTGTCTTTTTTGTTGGTTTATCTTGATTTCATGCATGTTATAACTTGTTTGGACATTTTGTGATTCTGCAACATGTTTCAACATTTTCTGCAGTTACCTGGTCGCACTGATAATGAGATAAAGAACTATTGGAATACACGAATAAAGCGACACCAGCGTGCCGGTTTACCTCTTTACCCTAATAATATTTGCTTTCAGGCTTCAGATGAAAATCAGCAAACTCAGATTGTCAGCTGTGTTGCCCAACAACACAGTGGGATCTTGCAGGGGAACAGTTTTGATATTCCTGGTACTGGATTTGAGAACTTGAACAATGGTCATGCGGATTTGTCTTATGCTTCCTCATTTCCAGATCTCTCTGTGAGTAGCATGATATGTCATGAATATGAATCCCCAGATTATGGGTACATGGATAATGTGAATCATGTCAAACAGGTAGGTGCTGGCTGTGATGCTACCTTCTACAGTGGGCCTCCCTCAGCATCTCAATTTCTAATGGAGCCTCCTGGACAGCTGACTTTTCGCTTACATTATCCCTATGATCCTGATCCCAACTTCAAGGACCTGGCAACTTTTGGAGGTGAAATTCCTGGCCGCCATGCCTTTCCAATTGACAAATTCTCTGCTTCAAGGCCCCTTTCTGGAGCTGTGAAGTTGGAGCTCCCTTCACTCCAATGTACAGAAACTGACGATAGTAGCTGGACCCTGTGCCATTCCACACCAACTCTTGATGCGGTTAATACATATGTTGAATCTTCTCCAACAACTGTCTCATTGCAACCTGAAGCTATTTCACCACGGAGCAGCGGTTTACTGGATGCATTGCTTCATGAGGCACAGGTACTAAGCGGCTCAAAGAGATATTCATCACTGAAGTGTTCAAGTTCTGTTATCAAACACAATGAGATGGTGGAATGTTCAGGCCTTAATATTTCTGAGACCGAGTGGGAAGACTACAATGGCCCAACTTATCCCTTGGGTCATTCTGCTCCTTCTGTTTTAAAGGAATGCACACCTCCTGTTTGTGGCAGTTTATCTCATGGATTTCCACCATTCAAGGATATTCCTGGTCTGTTTTAAATTGTCATTCTTTTGTCTTTCTTGTCCTTATTTTTTTGGTATAATTTTCTGCTCTTCATGAAAGGATCATGAGATTGCCATTGATAGTTTTTTCAGGCTCACAAAATACTTTTGCTGTTGCTGAACATCTTTCAACCCCGAATATGGAGGAGAAAAACATGTCGTCTCATCCGGATTTCTACAGGCCTGATGCTTTACTGGGATCTGATTGGCTTGAAGAAGGTTCTCAAGTTGCAAAAGATCATTCTGTCTTGAGTGATGCAGTAACAACACTCCTGGGTCATGATTTTTGCAAAGAGCACAAGATAGTGCCCGCTGGAACATCATCTGATCTCTTTCGAGGAACCAAGCTTGAATCTCATTCACGGGGTAAGATCCCCGATGTATCGCAAATGCCTGAGCTTCCTTGACCTCAATCGTACAGATGGCAAACTTACTTGAGAAATGTTCAAGGAGGACCTCAGCTTGATTTTTATGACTGTTAATGCTTCTTTCAGATTAATCATGGTATGTTGTGCTTTCTGGAACAAGTTAGGGATTTTAGTATGGTGAACTGTTGCCCGCTAATCGCCTTTTGTTATCGTATAATAAGCATACTAGTGTTCAGTATGGATAATCCGAGACATTTCTCTCGAGGACCGATAGGCCATTCGACTTCAATGTCACATGTTTAACTTAGAATTCTTGTCTCTAAAGTCATGCCTTTTCTTATACTATAATTCTTTCTTTTTCATATCATATTGTCTTGTTTTCTTAGACATGGCCAAATTGGTGGAGATATACACTAACCATTTCCAAACAATTATTAAGTTCTGTTCTAGCCATTATAATTCTTTTCCTATGTGTTATTATCAACTATTTTATACTGAGAGACTGAAATTTGTGATTTTTCTCATATTTTCTTCTTATTTGTTTTCTTTTGCAACTAGTAAAGTAAGTACAATTTGGAGAAGAGGTTTCATTTGTATGTGATAAATGTCAGATAAGATCTGCCAATATTTTGTGTGAACAATAGATTTAATTCAAGAATTAGACATGTATGTCTATTATCTATACTGTGCAACAAAAAACTTTGACAAAAATATCAAGAAAAATCACTCTAAATTCATAGAAAAATTAAGTCTTTCACATGCTCTATAAATAAAAAGATTTCGATCCAATTCTCAAAGAGAAGAAACATGTTTGGACTGTCAACCAATGAGGTAATGACACATGGTCGGCAGATGGGCCCACAACCTCTCCCGTTCCCCCAACCGCTGCTTGAATTGCCCCCTCACCGCATCCAAGTTGGACGTGCTCGTTTCCGATAGATTCGAGGAACGCTCTCTCTCTCTCTCTCTCTCTCTTAATTTTCCATTGTTTGGGAGGAAATTTCTTGCTTCAGATCGGAGGGAGGTGCAGCATTGGACGCCAAACGTACACCAATTTCTTCCGGCACTTAATGTTCTCTGTTCTTCCATGTTTTGTTTTGGGAAGTAATCTGTTGGTCTTTTATGATCGCTTGATGGTTCATTCTTGTTTAGGAAATGATATTAACTTTGCTAGAGCACAATGCGTACATCTTCAAACAAATCTGGAGATGTTACGTTGTCGATTCGAGGTTAATTTGCTTCGATTGTGGTGTCACTGTACATGTTTGATGTTTTGCCAGGAGACTTAAATGCAATGGTTTTGTTGCTGTCATTTGTGTAATTTCTTGGTACTTAATAGGTGGTACAGATTTTGATGGATAATAAAGGATACGATCATTTAATTCCATGTGAAGGATGACAAACATAATATAGAGCAATCTTGTGTCTTCTTTCTTTTGCTTGACATGGGCATGTTTCCAATTCAAGCAGGAGACAAAGCTTTGGATATTTGAGAGCTAAAGAATGAGGTAGGTTGACTGTCCATTTAGGAACCTCATAGTATTCCAAGTATTATCCTAGGTATTTAGGTTTAGGTATGAGGAGTGGTTAGAGATTTTGCTTTTATTATAAGCAAATTTTGTTGAGATATCTGCAATTTGTGTTTTGATAAGCTTATGAGCTTTTCATCAGAAATCATGATCTTTTTTTAAGGAGAAGTTCATGATCTGTTGTTTTGCTTTGGATCATTTTTGTTCTCTTGGTTTTGGACCCCCAGTTGGTGTCTTTCATGACATTGTAGTTTACTCAGTAATATGGTATTAGATCTCTTCATAATGTTCAGCCAATGTTTAATGTTTCTCACACATTCTCTCTTGAGTCTTGATTAATGTCTGAAAGTGAGACTCTTGTGACAGATGCAAACATTTTTGTATGTTAATACTTGAAGTTTAATCAGAAAGAAATACAAGTAAACACATTAGGAAACATTCTCAATGTCTAACTATTGTACAGAAAAACCAAGCAAAAGAAATGTGGATATTGCAGTTTAAGGCCACTTTTTGTGTTTGAAATCATGACTTCAGATAATGAAGCTGAGAAAAACAAAGGATTTATGCTTCATTAATTAGACAGCAAGCAGTATATCATTTAGATTGATCTTCTTCACTAGTGTCATAACCCTAAATGCCTATTTCTGCAGCCAGTATGAATCCTTTGTTCTCACTACACTGCAAATTTTGCCATTAGAAATGCTTTGCCATTGCATCTAATTCTCTTTATTTGCTCAAGTGTAGTGTCATGTCCACCTCTACTTTGATTCCTAAGAGGAAAACAGTTAGATTGATCTTCTTCGGTGGTGTTATATCGGTGAATGCTTATTTCTGTAGCAATTATGATACCTTTATTCTCACTACTCTGTAAAATCTGCCACTAGAATTGCTTTACCAATGCATCTAATCCCCTTAAACAGTTCTATCCACTTTTTCCTTCTTTCTTGCAGATTCCTAATAGGAAAACAGAAGAGAAGAAGATTCAGTGATCGAGGCTCAGCAAAGTGGTGCTAAGTAAAGAAATAGTTCTAATGTGCTCCAGGAAAACAACTTGGATTTCTGCTTGTTATCATCCTTCCTCTCTTGGTGTAGCTTGCTTCTTGTTTATACTGTACAAGTTCTTCCCTTCCCTATTTGCTCTTCTTCTAAGTTCTTCCCCAGTCATTGTTTGCACAACACTTCTTCTTGGAATCCTTCTGAGTTACAGTGAACCGAATCTTCCCGGGAACAAAGCTGACAATGATGACACTGCCGAGGCAAGTTCTTCGCTGAAGATTGAGTCTGTTCCAAATGAGAAGGGTTTCAGGGACAAGTCTCGTGTGGGGAATAGAAGGGCAACTAAGAGATTGACAGTAAGAACCATTGTTTTGGGTGACAGAAGGCTCGATGCAGCAGAAGCCACTTTTGTTGCTTCAAATTCTTCTATCGAGGAAGATAATGGCAAGAAAGCTTGTTTGGACTCTGAGTCTGGTGGTGCACAGGATTCTGATTCTTCTAAGTCGAACACTGCGCCGGTGCTCGATGAGCTTGATCCGTCTGTTTCCGAAGACAATTCCGGTGATGATTCTGCAGCATTCTCAGAGAACCATGCATCAGATGATGGCAGCACGGAGGAGGAGACTGAGAACCAAGATGAAGAAGAGGCACAGAAGGAGAAAGATGAGGGAGTCAAAGCTGCTGTAAGATGGACCGCAGATGATCAGAGGAACCTCGTAAATCTTGGGAATTCTGAACTGGAAAGGAATCGCCGGTTGGAGACTCTGCTCGCCAAACGAGAAGCGAGGAAGGTGCTGCAGAGAAATCTGATAGACCTGGACGACAACATGGAGAAGGGACATGGCCATCTTCCATGTGTTAATGCACCGAGAAGGAACCCGTTCGACCTTTCCTGTAGCTCGGATGACTACTTTCCTGGTTCGGCTCCTTCCGTGCTCCTGCCGAGACTGAGTCCATTCGATCTCCTCGACGATGATCCGGTAGAAGACGAAAAGAATTCGAAGCAGCAGGACTTCGCTGCAGCTCCACAACGCGATATCTTCTTCAGAAGGCATGAGAGCTTCAGCGTCGGCTCAGTTTTCAGCGAATCCAAGCAAGAGAAGCGTGTTTCCAGATTCAACCCTTGTGTTGGTGCAGAAAATAATGAGCCAGAGGAGACAGCTTGTGCTGATTCAAAGATGAATTCTACTTCAGAATCCGATGAACACAACGCAAAAGCTTCGAGTGACAGCATGATCACAGAACAAGCTCATCAAGCCACTGCAAGATCTGCAGCAACCCAGGACGAGTGCAGCGAAGACTCGGTAGGCAATTCACCTACTTCATATGGTGAGAGGGTTGAAGCGATTGACGAGGAGCACAAGTCAAGCTCCTCCACTGCATCATCATCATCAGAAGAAAAGAGGAGTCCCAAAATGAGAACTCCTGAAACAACAGCCGTAGGCTCCACATCCGATGCTGTGGAAGTGGAAGGAGAGAATGTTGATGACGGTCATGTGGTGGAACGAACCTGTTTATGATTCTAGTCCGACAGCATCGAACTCGGCACTCCATCAAGCTTTCTCCATTGCTGGTAATGAGAGACACTTTGAGTCACTGTAGCATCTCAGTGTCATGGTTTCGTCAGGTGGAAGAACGGAAGAAGGCCTCACGGCTTCGAGTCTGGTACTGGTAGAACACCATTGAAGAGATGAGTTGTCTAGGATTCATGAAGGTTTTGGTGGTCTCATTTTGCCTGTTCTACCGTAGCAAGTTTGTCTGAGATGGAGACTGCACTACCATTGGAAGATTGCCATATCCAACACAGTTTCAGCAACCATACTGTCTTATTCAACCTTTTTCCTTACACCAAATACAAACATAGAAAATTAGGACAAACACTTGTGTTCAAAGGTATAACTAAAATTGTAAGTTTAAATCAATATATCTAAACAATATATATATATATATAATCTAATATCAATAATAATAATAAAATTATAAGTCCGAACTATTTATGATCGACGACATAAATCTTTTATCATTATTGAAATATATTAAAGATTATATATTTAATTAATCATTTTATTTTTTCTTCTTCTATTATATTTGAAAATCTTCTAAGCATATTTTTATATCATCTTAAATGATTTTTTCCCATCTTATATTCTGTTGAAGCTAGTTATTCATGAATAAAAATATATATTTTTAATAATTTTATACATCTATCTTAATATTTTTATTAAATATATCGATGTTTTAAATTATGATATGTATATTGGATGTCATTTATATAAAAAATAAGTGCATAACGCTCTCATCTTGGAATAAAAATAAAAAATAAAAACAAAAAAACACTTTTGTGGTGCACCTCTTCATGTCGACCGTGTGCGAGCACAGCTCAACACATCGCCTTCTTTACGCGCTACGTGGGATCATGCAACGTTGATGGCGCCCACTCATGCTGCATCTCTCGTGATGAGGTGGCTTCATATCATACCTCAAGTCAACCAAATTTGACCAAAGATCCGATTATGATGCTGAAGAATCAATTACGAAATCGAAGGATCAAACACTGTATAGGGAGGCACCAAAATATATTGCCGTATTATTTTTAATATATATTTTAA